TCCTGGTGGGTTGCCCTGGGGGGGTGTGATGAGCTGGAGCCCCTCCTGGTGAGGACTGGTGTAAGGCACGGGGTGCTGCCAGGCTTCTCGAAGAGCTATTGTTCTCAGTTCTTCCATCAACTCTTGTCATTTTACCTACATTATTTGCTGATCTCTTTATTTTATTTGGAGAGAAAAGCTTTTATTCTTTTCCCTAGAAGAATGCTGCTTGCTTTTTTTTTTGTTAACTTTGTTCCTTCAGCAGGTGTTCTTGCTGGTGTGCATGGTCTCAAACAACCTGAAGCAGAAGTTGTCAAAATAAAGCACAAGTTATGGGGTTTTTTATTGTGTTTGCTTAACTTTGGGTTATCCAGAATTTGGAAGACTGTTAATTCTTTGTGGCTCCTAGTTACCAGGTCAACTTAACACAACTGTGGTTTAGTTGAAAATAAAGGAAGCTTAGTGAGGTCTGTCACAGGCAGACCGATGTTATGTTCGAAAGGCAAAAGATTTCTCCTCTTTCGGTGTTCTTTTGCATTTGAAAAGGTCCCTATGACCCTTCAGGATGGTTCTGTAGGTGCTTGATACAACCCTCTTTCGGTTTACTGTTCCTGTTTCTCTTTAAAGACCTATAAAGAGTCAGTTTTGGAACCAGCCTTGCTCATTTTGGTCTGAAACAGATGCTGCTGTACTAAATAAGAACAGGTGCTGGTTTTGATTTTCAAAATAGGGAAGCGAAGGTTAGTCTTTAGTAAAACCTCCTGGTGCACCTGGAAAGTGTGAGCGGCTTCTAATACCATCTGAGAAGTGTTAATGCAAGAGTTGAGTGTGAATGGCAAGAAAGAAACCATCTCAGTGTCTTGTTAGGCCTGGCTTGATGTTAGTGCCTCAGGAGAATTGGTGTTCTGGGGAATGAGAGGGGTTTAATTGTGGTGTTAGGGCTCTAGGAGAAGCTCTGGCTTTTGAAAAACAAAAGCTAGAGCGTGGCTTAGTTTTCCTGGGTAGAAATGTCTGCCACTTGTGAAACAAACAGATCATGAGGCTTAACTTCCAGCCACTGCCTCCCACATCCCACCGCCAGCTCCGTGCCTCTTCCTGCCCCCTTTCCCAAACTCTTGGCCTCTGATGTATGACACAGCTGTCATAAACAGGGATCTGTTAGTTCTTCCTCTGCTCGATGTTGGATTTGAGCCATTTTTGCTATGTTGGTTTCGACTGAGAAATGGAAGCTGCTGCAGAGTGCTGCCTTTTAGAAAGGACTCTGCTGGCCTTGCGAAAGGGGCCTGATTTCTATAGGAGCAGAAGAGGCTTTGGCAGTTATTTTGTAAGCAGTGCTATGGCTTAGCTTCAACTGAAGGGTTCAGGTCAGAGAGCTCTTTTCCTCTGTCTCTCTGAAGCTCATCTAGCCTGGAAGGATGTATTTAGGATTTACACTAGAGGGTGTAGTAGTTTAGCTGGCAGTCAGGCAACCATCTTCTTGAGAGCAGGTTCTCAGCCAACAGAAGTTGCTCCCTGTCAGTGAAACTGCCTGTCTTGTTTTAAAGTAGCCTTATAACAGTGCACTTGGGCATATTTGACCTATTTAAACGTGTCACTCAAGAAATAAGCTTTGAAAACATAACTTTTTTGCCAAAGCAGGTGGGTATCTACACCAAGAGTTATAGTTTTCTGGTACAGTGCTTAGAAAAAAGGATAACATCTAAAGAGCCAGCCTTCTAAGCATATTGATTCGAGCCTGATGTTGACTTTGATGTTTAAGGATCACTGCAGCACTGGCAGTAACCCCAAAATTCTTTGTAGATCTTCTGTAGCCTTGAAAGTAGCTTTTGAAAGCTGAGGAGTGGAGCTGGCCTTGCCAGGCTGTGATGGGAGGAGGCTGTGGATGCATGCCAGATGGAGCAGAGAGGAGGTGAAAAGAGGAATTATTGGGACATAGCACCGTTCCCCTTTGCTTTGTTCCCCCCACCCCTCATTCCAGACTTGCTGAAGAGTGGACTCTTCAGATGTTCATAGTAGATGATCCTTATTTTTCATACAGTGCTCTTATGGTCCCAACTGCTGTAAGACAGTGGTGAAGAGGCCTCCGTGCCTGTTAGATCAGCAGCAGCAGGAGGTCTGAGTTCCCCCCTTCCTGCTGCTGTTGCCATATTGCAGCATTCCCTTTCTTCCCCTCTGAAAGCAGCTCAGTAAATACAAACTTGTCAGGTGAGGAGGGAGCCGATGAGATAGGGCACATTTCTGAGTTCTGGAATATATGATACTGGAAATCTGTTCCCTTTTCTTTACTTCAGGTATCTGCCTGCATGCTAGAAGACTGTGGCTACCTGGAGGCTTGTGGCAATCCAGGCCTGGCTGAAAGCTGAGGAAGGTGCTGGGATGGCAGCATGCATCCTTATCTCTGCAGCAGTGTTGGTGGGCTGGGAAGTGGGGTGTGAGCCTGTGGAGGACTGGGAATCTGGCGGTCGCAGATTCTAATCCTGACTTGGCTGAAGTGCTTTTTCCAGCTACAAAATGACTAAACCCCACCTGCTTCAGAGCAGGATGAAAAGATTATTGAATGTGTGTGAAGTGCTTTGAAAGCATGCTGTGTAAGTAGGAGGGAAGAACTGCCTTCAGTCCTAAAAGCATCTCTTCAAGAGCTGTAGAGGAGAAAAATAGGGCTCTCTTTAAAGTCTAAGTCCTGAGTATGCTGAAAGACATAAAAGAATCGTAATACGTCTCTTCATAAATATCTTAAGGAAACCAGCTCTTTGGTTTGATGGTAGCTGTCAGGAGATGCATAGGAGGTGGATGTTTTTTTCAGTCCGGAGCCAAAAGCTGCATCCAGGTCGAGAGGTCCAAGTTCCTCTTTGTCTGCTCTGATCCTTGTGTCAGCATGAGCTGGGAAGAGCAAAGCTTTCAGCACCCAGCTCGAAATACTTAAGACTGGTGTGTCTTGGCAGTTGCTAGGCATTTTTCTGGTATGGTCAGAGGTGGTGGAGCAGTTTTCTTGCTGTGTGGATTTTCTATTTGGGTGGGCAAGGCTTTGCTGATGGCATCTTTGAAAGGTGTCTGGGTGGGTTTGTTTGGTACCCTGTGATTTGCACTCCCCAGCCCACAAGTTAAGCTGCTGTAACAGTGTTTGGCTCCTGTTGGCCCAGTTCAGTTGCAGAGAAATCCTTAGGCTTATCTCCCCAGCTTTAACTCTGCTGATCCTGTCGCTGATGTAAGGAGGACACTTTGCTTCTCCCTTCTTCAGAGTCTTCATTCAAAAAGCAACCACGTGGGATAGCTGTGATGTGTACTTGAAATGATGTTCGGTAAAACCTAAGGAGGCTCTGTAAATGCTAAACGGCAGATTTAATCCTTCTCAGCCCATGTGTCACTATGGGATCAAGGCTGTTGTCTCCTTCACTGGTCAGGTTCCCAAAACAGCACATTACTGAGGGGTTGCACATCAAACTCTGCCATGTTTGGTGGGAGCACCCTCTCTGCTTTGTCTGGGATTGCCTTGACATTACTTATATTGCAGTGGAGGTTCACACCATGTGTAGAAAGGAGGAGAAAGAAGGCCTTTACAGATGCATTTTCCTTCTTGAGCTTCTTGTAGGAAAGAGCTTTTATAGCTGTATTTGCCACAGGGAAATGGAATGAGATGGAAATTTCTTAACTGCCTTCATTATGGGAGAGGAAATGGGGTGGCTGAGTGTTGGGTGCTGTAGCATGTGGGGGACATTGCTCATACTGCTCCCCCCACCCCAATTGTTTTTTTAGGCCAGGAATGACCAAAATGTCACCAGTGGATGGTGTTTTTCTTACAGAGTTCTGAAATGAAGAACAGAAACGCCACGTGATGGTAAGGTCGGGCCATGCCTCCTCATGGCCATCAGCGTGGTGGCTTCCCAGCAGTTGGGGATTTCTGGTCATGTACCCTCTCAGTGGTGGCAGGTTTCCTGTGGGTGCTCAGCTGCAGCTGCTCTGTGTGTTGGGATTTCAGTGTGGGCTGATGGGGCACTGCCAAGTTCTGGTCTTTCTGCAAGTGGAGAGACTTGGTCCTGAGCTTGCGTGTGGCTCCTCCTTGCTCAGGTTACAGACGTGTAAAGCAGGAGGTGGGAGCAAATCTCTGTCAAGCCAGGAGGATTTTGAAGGCTAAAGGTGCAGTGACCTGCCTGGGTGTTGGAGGTGCTGCAGTTTTGCCAGTGTGTGTGAGCTCCCTGCTCTCTGCCTGCCGCAGGCGCCCTTTGTCTCCTCTGATGGGATTTCTCTCTCCAGTGTGGAATATCTTACCTGACATTGAAACATTTCCTCTGATTTTTCATAGAATCGTTGAATCCCAGCATAGTTTGGGTTTGAAGGGACCTCAAAGCTCAGCCAGCTCCAACCCCTGCCACGGGTAGGGACACCTTCGACTACAGCAGCTTGCTCCAAGCCCCTGTGTCCAACCTGGCCTTGAGCACTGCCAGGGATGGGGCAGCCACAGCTTCTCTGGGCACCCTGTGCCAGTGCCTCAGCACCCTCACAGGGAAGAGCTTCTGCCTAAGAGCTCAGCTCAGTCTCCCCTCGGGCAGGTTCAAGCCATTCCCCTTGGCCTGTCCCTACAGGCCCTTGTCCCAAGCCCCTCTCCAGGTTTCCTGCAGCCCCTTTAGGCACTGGAGCTGCTCTAAGGTCTCCCCTTCAGGAGCCTTCTCTTCTCCAGGCTGCCCCAGCCCAGCTCTCTCAGCCTGGCTTCTGAGCAGAGCAGCTCCAGCCTCTTGATCATCTTTGTAGCCCTCCTTTCCTCCTCTAATCAAACACTGCAGGGCTGTGTTAGTGCTGAGGAAGTGGAAAGCACAACTCATTGGTCCAGGGTTTCCCAAACCACGTTCCCGGTGCTGGGCGAGGCGGATGAGAGGTGGCAGCTCACCCAGTACCAGCAAGGCAGCAGCGCTGGGTGCAGGCAGGCACAGGCAGGCACTAACAGGCAGGGCCAGGTCAGGTCATCTCCCTGCCCTGCAGCCTCCTTCCCTGCTGGGACTGAGCATGGAATGTGGGGCTGGAGAAATGGGATAGTTTTGGGCTCTGGCTGGGAAGCGTGTTGCTTTGTGGGCTCAATGAGATCTCACAGCACGACCCTGGGGATCATTCTTGGGGAGACCATCGCGTGTGCCAATTTGTGTTGCTCAAATCAAGTCAAAATCAAAGCGTATGGCTGGGGAAGCGAGATCAAAAGATCCCCCAAGCTGATCGCAGTAGTGCTGCGAAAGAACCAAACAGTCCAAAAACCCCTGCAGACACTCGAGTAAAACCCAGTCCCATCTGGGAGTAAATGAGGGTGAAGGCGGGACTTTGGCTTGGGAAGTCCTGCCCTAATTATCTCTGCAGCCCAGAGAGTGCTTTGTCAGCACATGGTCAGCGGGGTTGTGCCAGAAGCCTTTGCCGGAGTGTCTTAGCAGCACCAAGCAGGTATTAAAAGCCTCAAGTACAGCATGAACAAATATCTGCAGTATTTATTAACCACGGGGAGCTCAGGTAATTCTTTGAAGTTTTTGGCTTAACTGTGAACTTGTTTTCGTGTGGGTTGCAGGATGTGAAGAAGCAACTGCAAGAGAAGGGCCTTCTTCAGAGAGGTTTTCACGTGTTAGCCATTCATTTAACGTGAGACCTTCGCTCCTCAGGCTTCCATCTGCCTCTGAAGTAAAGGGAGGATGCAAAAAGCTCTGCTTGGAGAGGGTTTTGTTGCACCAGGATTTTCATTGCCCTGTGGGATACAGCCTTTTTATGAAAGGATCTGCGCTGAGGAGCAGGCAGTGTGTGGGGTTTGCTGCTCAGGAGTCCGGAGCTGCAGGTGGCTGAGTCCTAAAGGAGTTGTGGAAGTGCTAATTCCAGCTTTTGAATTAACCAAAGCTGGGCAAGTTTTAAAAGCTGTGTAAGTTTTGCTTCTAGCCCTTCATAAGTCACAGCTGAAGTTTCTTAAATGGAATAGGGCTTGAAAAGTGCTTTTCTTTAGTTTTGAATATTGTTTTTAAAAGTGTCTACTTTGACTGTATTGAAATACTGTAGTTTTGGGTTTTTTTTTTAAAACTTAAATGGAAATTCTTCACCCAAAATAATGAAAGAAAAAAGTCAGGTGTTGCGAAGATAACTTATCTTGAGTGAGCCAGAAGGTGGCTGAAATGAAGGGACTGGTGGGTGAGGTGAACTGTTACTGCTTGTGACCACGCTGGGCAAAGGAAGTTCTTAAGGTGGAGTTGAACAGAGGGAAAAGAAGACACCAGGATACTTGAAATATTTCCTTTCTTTTTCTTTTCCTTCTGCTTCTCTGCAAGGACTACTTGCTCTGGTAACTAAGTTTTGGAATAAATCCTTAGTTTTACCTGGCACTTTTACTGGAGATAGGGAAATATTTTCTGACCTTTTCCCCAGAAACAGATAAAATAAATCCCTTATGTTTTGTTTTTTGGTTGTTTTTTTTTTTTCCCAAACAGACTTTCAACTTTTCTTATATATTCAGGAAAAACTTTAAAATGAGAGAGGGAGTGGAAAAATCTCCAAAGAATCCAAACATTGAGTACCCAGATTAAAATGGTGAGACGCCACTTGTCACCTGCCTCTGATGTTCTTTGCCTCCCACTGTTGTGTTAGCACCAGGGCGGGTGGGACCGTACATCACTGTGGCCATGCAGGAATGTAAATGATGGCTTTTGCATGGGCCTGACCATCGTATTCTGGCTTTTGCAGCCTCATATTTAACTGGTGTTGCTGTGGGGAGCCGTGGTGGTCCCAGCTGTCCTCCAGGACTCTCTGTGAGGCTATCGAGAGGGTGAAGCCACTGTATTCAGTAGGCTTGAGGGCCTTTTAGATGCCTCTTCTGCTGTGCCAGAGACAAAAATGGACAAAGTTGTGTTTTCCTGACTCAAATTGGAGGTGTTGCTGTCTGAGCTGCTTTGAGGGGTGTGCCCTAACGTTCTCCCTGAGTTGTTCCATGATAGTGCTGTCTGCTCGGGAGAGACATGGCCCATGCCTGAGCTGGATTGAAGCACTCACTCCTCTCTGCCTGCAGCGTGTCAGCAGTCCTGGGAGGCTAAGCTGAGCAAATAGCTTATGGCTCATACAAGGATGGTGTCTGGCTGCTCTTGTTCCTCAGTGTGACCCACCCCTCCCTGTTCTGGTTGTGGCACTAGCTGGAGAGCCCCCTGGTCAACCCTTTCAGCCCACAGAGAGAGCCCTTTGGTGGCACTGAGCACTTACATTGGCCAACAGCACCTGGTGAAACCATACCCTGACCTAAAGCAGGCTTTGTCACAGCAGGTTTAAAAATACCACAGTGTGATGGATGACTGTTCAAACCTTTTTCAGCCTTGCTAATATAAGACTTTCTTTTCTCATATTTGCTTCTTTTTTTCCACTGAAGAAATGACTGTGTTGGTTCACGATGTACTTTGTTGCTGTGGCATCAGATACCTCTCATGGAGTAACAGAAGTTGGGCTTGTTCAGCCTGTAGAAGGGAAGGGTCCTTAAGGGGAGACCTTAGAGCAGCTCCAGTGTCTAAAGGGGCTCCGGGAAACCTGGACAGGGGCTTTGGACAAGGGCCTGTAGGGACAGGCCAAGAGGAACGGCTTGAACCTGCCCGAGGGGAGACTGAGCTGAGCTCTTAGGCAGAAGCTCTTCCCTGTGAGGGTGCTGAGGCGCTGGCACAGGGTGCCCAGAGAAGCTGTGGCTGCCCCATCCCTGGCAGTGCTCAAGGCCAGGTTGGACACAGGAGCTTGGAGCAAACTGCTCCAGTGGAAGGGGTCCCTGCCCGTGGCAGGGGTTGGAACTGGATGAGCTTTAAGGTCCCTTCAACCCAACCCAGGCTGGGGTTCTGTGAAATGGACAGTGGGAGCATCGGGAGAGGCCAGCTTGGACTAGAGTGGCTGTAATACCTTTGAAGCCTTGCTTCCCTCATGTTCTTAGAGCAGTGCAAGGTTATCGATGCTTTTTATACTGATTTTTTCATAATTAAATTTACTATTTAAAAGAGAAAGAAGGAGCAAAAAAAAAAAATAATACAAATCATTAGTACTAGGGTTCTATTTAAAGGTGAAACATTTCTCTCAGCTCCTCTTACCTGCCCTCCTAACCCATTTACTCTGGATGATTATTTGAAATGTACTATTTTAAATCTCAGTGTGAATATGGATCTTATTGTGAAATGATTTGGAAACTTGCTTTGGGTGCTTGCAGATGAGGCCTGTACCCAGAGCTGCCATTCCTTTTGTGTTCTTTCCTTCTGGAGAGTAGCAGAACTCAGCCTCCTGGTGAAGCCTGTCTGAAACATTTTGTTCTTGAAGCCGCTGTCTCTCCTGCAGTGCATTAAATAAAAAGCTTAAAATAATTTTCCAATGCTAATTTTTTGGTAATCACAAGGGTCCATTTGCTAAGTGCTGGCACTGCAAACACAGGCAGGCTGTTAAGCTAACAGAGCTGCCCTGGTGACCTTAACGTAAAAATGCTTTTCTCCAAAGAGGTCTCCCAACAGCTTTCACCTTCCCCTTCTCCCAGTGAATGGATCTTTTGTTGCCAGCTCCAGGTGACCCAGGAGAATGGGTGGCTTCAGTGGTGACAGGGCTTGAAGTGTTCCCTGTCCTTTGGCTTGTGCTGGTGCCTCTGCAGAATGGCCAACAAACCCTCCTGTTCTGAGATCCTCATTGCTGTAAGTGTGAGAGTATCTCATGTTTGCTTCCCTTTTGTTTAGCAGCAGCCATTGCTCCTTAGCACCTCTGTTACATCTGGAAGCAAGGTAGCTGTCATCCATGGCCCCCATGCAAGAGTTCCAGAGCAACCAGTACGTGACATACATTCAGGCTTTTCTGTATTTAAAGCATCTGAAATATGTGTTCTGGTAGGGTGCTTGGACTAAAGAGAAGGACATCTTTTTTTCTCCAGAATGATTCACTGTGAAGTAAGTTTGAACATCAAACAGGTGACCTTGGACTGCATTATTCCTTTGATGTCAGCCTTTGTTTACTGCCTTTCCCTGTTGCACAAACTAGAAGGACCAGTGTACAGCAAGGAGTTGTCAGCTTGTAGAAGCTGTAATAAAACAGCTCCACCTCGGAACTGAGGCCTCATTTTCCAGAACCAACAGGACTGTAACCAGGAAAAAACCCCAATCAACCTTAATTTTTGTAAGAATCTTGATTTATGATTCTCAGTACTTTGGGCTGAAATGGCTGGTTTAAGTGCAGTTCATTTTGGTGTATTCTAAAGGAGTTCTAGGTGAAATAAATTGTTCAGTGTAGTTCTTTGTAAATTATTAATCACTTGGTCTGTATAGTGTTGATGTTAATTTCACTTATTTTGTGTCTTAGAAGGACTATTTCATATGTCTGAGGTACATTAATATATTAAAAGTTTGTATTTTAAAGTGTCCTGATAGCAGTTTCGTTCACAATCCTATATGGAGTTATCATCTCAAGTCTTGTCTTGTGATTCTCAAAGGACAGCTTAGACTCAGTTTTACATCCATCCCCAGGGTTAGTTCACTACATGGTGCATCTCTTTTTGCTTCAGCAGACACCTTGTCTATCAGAATAGCTTTCTTTACACCATGGGTATTTCTAGTAGTGTTTGAAATGGAGAGGAATAAATGCTGAAGCTTGAAGCTTTTTTGGCTCCTGTATCCAGGTTTTAAGAAGGGGTGGAGGGTGTAGCTGGGTCCCTGCCTGCCTAGCTCTGGGCTCAGTTACCCACAGATCCTTTCCTTTCATTTCCTCTCTTAGCTTCCTGGGAGGACAATTAAGCATTAGAAAAGGTGGCCTGATTTCAGACAGCATATTTGATTTCTCTGGCTTTGGACACTTGGATGTCTATGGCTCTCCATCTATCTGTGTGTATATTTAAATAAAACCCCTTCTGGTTGTATTTCCATTACATTACGTATAAATGTATCATGGCCAAAGGTGACAGCCCTGGTGAGTATCACGGAGCCCACTTACACAAGTGGCTTTCATGGGAAAGGTAGTCTTTGATCAGCGGTGGTGGGTAATCCATCAGGCCTCTACACGCCTACAAAAGAGCTCTTTCTTTCATGCCAGTGTCTCAAAGCTTGCTGGCATTCTCAGAGATTCTAATGCAGTTTTACATCTGGTCATTCCATTGAAAGGAAATGTGCAATTAGTTTTCTACTACAGATGAACTGCAGAGCATCAGACACCAGGTCTGTGCTTAGGTTATCTCTGTTTTCTCCAGGTCTGTGCTTAGATGATCACTATTTTCTCTGTATCCTGATAGATTTAAAATAGTTTGCTTTTCTATGTGAACAAGATGTCTTTTATGTAGTTTGGGTTGGGTTTTTCTGGTTAGTTTTAGTGTGGGAGTGTTTGGCTTTTTATTTTGCAAGTCTTTAGATCCATACTCTTGCCTCTGTTTCTTTACAGGCCGCCTAATACTTGTCTCTGCACACAGTTCCAGGCTTTCAGCTCTTCCCTTAACAATGCTTGTGCTAAATTTTAGGTCTCCATCTTGAGTTATTGGGTAATAGCTGACTCCTTCAGTCTTCACTGCACTGGCTTCTCTACCACTATGGAGTTATGTGCCACAAAGGGGTAAGGAATGAGGTGGTGGGTATGGAGGACTGTTCTTTATCAGCGCTTAGGCTAATATTTACACCTGCTTGTTCCAATAATCTATTTACATACACTAGCCTTGATGGTGCTGCTGTTTGCATCTAGGCTTTTTTCCATTGTTACTTGCATTTCTTCATGGTTTTTTTTTCTAAGTGGGCTCTGGATATCAACCTGTCTGGTGTTCACCATTCACTGAGATGCTCTGGTTTGCCACCTTCTGCCATGCATCGGCTGTGCCGGGTATAATGGGGATGAGCAGACATTAGTTTTGAAAATGCTCTTTGTGGCTTGGTTGGAAATCACTTTGCAACAAGTGGAGGGGAAGTTAGTTATAGAAATACATCCCCTTGTTCCTTTTTCCCCACGTTCCTGGTCCTGGGCACAGCTCAGACTGTCCTTTGGAAGCTGGTACCATCAGGCTGTGATTGTGCAGGGTCCCTGCTCAATCAGCAGCTAATCGGTTTGGCAAAAAATCTTTGCAAACCCAAGGGGGCTAAAAAGTATTTTATGAAGCTGTTGCCTTTATTGTAATCCAGTCCTTTATTACCCTGCTTCCTTGGAGGCTGGCTCTGCTAACTGTGAGATGGGTTCTTTTCTTATTGCCAAGGGAGCTGTGCTGTCACAGATCCTCTTAAAAAAGCCCCCAGTCCAAGTAAAAGCTCAGTCTTGTGAGAGTGGTAGAAACAGCCCCTGTAAACACGTTGTTTCTGGCTGTTAACAAGAATTCTGTCGTCCTTCTTAGACCTGGCAGGTTGGGTTTTTTCCCCATCTTTCATCTCTCTGCTATTGTCTTGTTCTACTGCATACTCAAGCTGGAAAGCCAGTTTTACTACTGGCCTAGCAAAGAACAAGAAGTCCCTCTGGCACAGCAGCATCCAGAGACACTATGATAAAACAAGGATTGAAATCTGTTCCAAATCAAAGAGCAGCTATTAACTCACCTGTCACTTCTCTTGGCTTGCTAAATGCTGAGTTCCTATGTTACTAATCTAATTTTTCAAGGTGAAGGTACTTTCCTGCCTGTTCTGTGTCACTGCACGTGCGCAAGTGACGTCCTTTTCCTTGTCCTTTTCACCAGGAGATGGGAAGGTGGGAGAGTTTGGGATATCATGGCAGCAAGTTGAGTGTGTTTATGCTTGTGACAACTGCTCACATGCCCTTTTCAAGATGAATGTTTCAAGATGAGCTCTGATGGACTCTCCAGTTGGAAGCTGTCCCTTGGACAGGTTGCTTTGCCATTTCCACACAGTTCTGTAGGGTGGTCCAGCACTCACCAGAACAGCCCCTGTAGAGCTGTGCAGCATGGTCAAAGTGTATCCTCTGCTCATAGTCCTAGAAATGCCAGCGTAAGAGACGCCACCAAAGGGACTTGTCTGAAAAGAGAAATGTTCTGGGTGTTTCATTTTCCCATTCTGGGGGTTGTTCTGTGTGATTGAGTCATGTTGCCTTTGCACCTATAGTGTTTTTCTTACTAGCAGCACTCAGCTTGTCAGATAAGAGTGGTTTTCCTGCGGCTGCTGAGAGAAATCCTGAGCTTTGGGGAGTATTGAAAGCTTTCAGTGGGCTTTAGGCATTGGCATCAGTAAGTGAGAACCTAATCCACAGTTTTCATACTGGAATCCTCTTTCCTCCCTTGGTCACTTCGCTGAATTAAGCAGATAATTCTGCTCCTACTCAGCTCCTCTTTGTCTTAATACAAAGATTATTCTTTGCTGCCCTGAAGAATATTTAATTTAATAGAGCTTTTCCATGAGTAATAAAAGCACTTTGTTAATAGATCTTTAGCCCTTAAGCCCTGGGAGTAGTTTGTAAAATCTAGTCTAGCCACATGCCTGCTGCTGAGCAGACAACTTCACTGGTAGCTTTAGGTATCGAACATTTGTTCTGTGATGCTGAGAGCATGGCTTTTGGTGGTGTCTTTCAGTACTGGGTTTTGATGAGAGCAGACCTTAAAAAATGACTTTTTAAATAATTTTACTCCAAAGAAAAATGTACCTCAGTTGCTGGTATTAACTTCTGTTTTCTTTCTCTTTCGTAGAGCGAGGCTATGATCCCTACAACCCCGAGCTGCCCCAGCCCTCGCTGGAGGTGGAGGATGGTGCTCTGGCTGACATGACAGACGTGACACCCGGTATTCTGGAGCTGGAGCTGGTCAACAAAGCCATTGAGGCAGTCAAAAACGAAGTGGAGAGAGAGCAGAAGAAGTATGAGGAGCTGCTAGAAACCACAAAGGAGTTGAGTGCTTCAGAGGCCTCCTCACTCATTTCAAATACACCTGTGTCAGCTGGTGGGACACAGAATGATTCATTTACCTCCTTAGAGTATAATCCAGGTAGCTACAACTTTAATAATAACTCGGACTACAACCCTACTCCTCTGGCTGCTGCTAGCTGGTCAAGTAAATACACTTTGGATGCTTCCCGATCTAAAGGGAGCTCACTGGAATATGTTCCCAAGGCTGTAATACAGAATAAAAAATACAGTAGCACTGTTACTAACAGTAAATATGTGATTGATGACTCAAAGCCTTCTACAGACTTGGAATATGACCCACTTTCAAATTACTCAGCGAGGCTTTTGAGCAAAGCTACGACAAACGAGCCAAAGGGGTCCAAAAGGGGTAGAGTGTCCAGTTATGAGGAGTCTTACTCTCCTTCACGAAAGAGGTTCTGTGAAGAACTTGATGATGATGAAGAAGTGTGTGCCAGGTTCTCTTCCTCTGAGGATGAGGCTGATGTGGAATATAAAGCAACTTCTGTTAGTTCCCAATCAAAAGCTGGTTCTGAAAGTGAGTCAAGCGATGGGTTATCCCACACAGAGCAGAGCACCAAGGTGGATGACTTTGTTTCCCAGGATAGCAAAGAAACAGCAGTGCAGTATGGCATGGAAGGCCATCCAAGGTCACAGAAAAACCTTGCTAAAAACTCATCAGACAAGAGTGCAAAAGCAGGGAAATTGTGTGCTGGTAAGAACGGGCAGGAGATCGAGCATAAAAACAAAGACTCAAAAGATAAAACAAAAAGGAAGAAATCAGATGTTAGTAAAACACCTGGGCTAAATGAGTTTGGTAAGAAGGAGAAAAGTAAAAGTACAGAAAAAGACAAAGTGCTCAAAAAAGAAGAAAAATTAAAACCCAAGAATGAGGAGAAAAACTGCAAAGAGAAAAGTGTCAAAGGGAAAACTGATGGGAGTTTTAAGAAACCTGAAAAACACAAGTTGGAGAAAGCAGATGGACTTAAGAAAGAAAAATCCAAGTTGGGCAGCAGTAGTTCAGGGAAAAGCAAGAGTGAAAGTGTCAGCAAAGGCTCTAGCACAGAGAAGCTGGGGAGCAGCAAGAAAGACTCCAAGCTGAAAACAGGTGATGTGAAAAATGGCAAAGAAACCTCTGGTCATAAAAACAAAGAGAAAGGGACCAAGACTCCGGCACTGGAGCGAAAGAAAGAAAAGGTCAGTTCTGTAGAAAAAGGAGATCCAAAGAAGGGTCGGAAGCAGCAGAGTTTGAGTCATGTTGATCTGTTTGGTGATGAGAGTGGAGATGATGATGACAAAGGCAGGCCTTTGCCATCCACGTTACTTGACGTGAGCTCGGACTCGGATGGTGATGACTGTGGTTCAGACTCGGAGAGTGAAAACGAAGGGACAAAGAAAGCGAAGCGCTCTAAGTTGTCAAAGTCATCATCATCATCATCTTCCTCAACATCTGATGACATTGATTATTCCATCCTTGAGAAAGACTTGGACTTTGAATCAGATCCAATGGAAGAGTGTCTCAGGATTTTTAATGAATCTACAGATGTGAAAACTGAAGACAAGGGAAGGCTGAGGAAACAGGTAATGCTGGTTTGGGTTGCTTGGTTCTCACCTCTGAATGTGAAAGGATTCTGGTTTCATTTAGTTTAGTGGTGTTGCTTATCTTAAGGAGCTGAAAAGGGCTATGGAGGGAGACTCCATTTGTTGGAAGAACCCTTGTCATGACTGAGTTCTCTGAAGAGTTTGCACTTGAATTTACCTGCTGGATTAAAATCTGCTGTAAAATGTAAGGATTACATTACCTTTTGTGTGGAAGGGGTCCCTGCCTGTGGCAGGGGTTGGAGCTGGGTGAGTTTTAAGGTCCCTTCCAATCCAAACCATTCCATGATTCTGTGATTATTGATCTGAAGGAGGGGCAGGGTGAGCTCAGCAGGAACCATGACACTGCATGGTGGAAAAGCAGTTTCTCCTGGCATGATTGACTGTGGACTTTTATTCTACTATCAGCATCAGAAGTGAGTGCTGGTTTCAGGCTTTTGTCAGCTGGGTGAGTGAAGGGGCCGTGAGCAACGTTTTCCCATTCACAGCCTTCAGTATGGGGAGGCCAGAGTGAGGATCTGCAGTGTTGAGAGGAGAGCTCCTCTTTTGGGGAGGATAGCTGGACTATTAAAGCTTTTTGCTGAGCCCTCTGTTGCAGTCATGGCCCTGACACGTTCAGAGAGAAGTCTTGTGTTGCTGACAAGTCCTTTTTTCTACTCCTATGAAAAGCTTTAGTAGAAGAAACTATATAAAGCAGGTCAGTGGAGTGATTTCCTTCTGAACTATTATGCATTACTTGATTTCAGTTGATTAAAATTCAGCTGTTCTTTCTTCAGTGTTTGCTGTAATTCCCAGCTAGGAAAGAGTGCTTTATTTTTAGCTTTGTTTCTCCAAATTGCCCAGGTGAAGTGAAAATAGCTTAAGGGCACCTAATCTATAGTGGGAAATCCTAATCCATTGAGAGCTTTCCAAATGGGCTGGATTCAGAAAGGGCTGAACCAGGGGCTGCCACTCACTGCAGACAGTTAACGGAGCTGCAGTGTTGAGATGTCAGCAGCCTCCTGTGTGTGTGTCCTTTGATGTGCTTCACCTTATATCCCTGCCCTGAATAATTCCTTCTGTTTTGAAAAGGGAGGAACATGCATTGCAGAGGAGGAGGTCCTTGTATGAGCAATGAGTGTTTATAAGTAGGTACCTGCTTCCCTCTGCATTTATGGAGGGTAGGGGATTTTTTTCCACTGTGTATAGAATAACTTTGTAGATGGAACCAGTGTTGTTTGGTCTCAACATGCTCGTCCAGAGGGAAGGTACGTGTAGGAAGCATGGTACTTTTCCAGCTGGAAGGATCACTGTGTGAGAGAGTTTATTAGGGATGTAACTGAATTAACAGACCGAGTTCCTAGAGAGTGAAGTGATTCAGTGGTGATGGACACAAGCTCAGCCTTAGTGGAGTCTGAGCTCATCCCCACATCCAGCCCTCAGCTCTGTTGCTGCATTTCTAAGAGGCTGGCAGGGTTGTATCTGTCAGGCATTGGAACAGGGCAGTGGTGGGGTCACCATCACTGCAAGTGTTCCCAAATCATGTAGATGAGGTCCTCAGTGGCATGGGTTAGTGATGGCCTTGGCAGTGCTGGGCAATGGCTGGACTTGATGATCTTAAATCAATAATGATCTTAAATCTTTAATCCAAACCAGTTGATTCTATGATTCTAGGAAGTGTGTTTTATATGAATGAACAGCGGAATCAAATTCAAAGCCTTTAAAGTCTGTCCCCAAAGCCTTTAAAGTTCCAACCCCTGCCATGGGCAGGGACCCCTTCCACTGCAGCAGCTTGCTCCAAGCCCCTGTGTCCAACCTGGCCTTGAGCATTGCCAGGGATGGGGCAGCCACAGCTTCTCTGGGCACCTCCCAGCGAGCCTGAGATGTTTGCTCAGGAAGCATCTTTACTTGGAGAGGGGCTGTTACTTCCTCCTAAGTTTCTGGCCATACAGGTATGTGACCTGGGGCTTTGTCACTGCACTCTTTCTGCAGATAGGGCTGTGGATAAAACTGCAGGGAAACATTTCTCTAAATGTGGAGTGTGGGCACCATGGTTTGGTGCCGAGCAGGTTTGTTCAGGACCTGCTCTGTCAGCATGTTGTACAAGGGGCAGGAATGAGCCAGCTCCCAGGTTCTCTCAGAAAACAACCCAAAACCCCCTGCATTTTAAGATGCCACGAAAGGTCAGGTGTGAGTGGCTGGCAGAAAGCTGTTCGAGTCTCTGATGGCAGGTAGGGACTGTTGTGAATCGTGCCAGTGCTACTCCAGTACACACCTCATGGAGCGACTGCTGGGGGGAGAACTGTGCTGCTGCTGCTTGTTGGCTTCATTGGTGGCTTTTGGGTTCAAAACAAGGTTTGGTTTAGTTGGTGAGCAGCTGACCACATGTTCTCACCTGTCACCTGCAAGGACTTTCTGTTAACCATAAAGGAAACTTTTCAGATCTCCTCATTGAGAGGGATCTTCAAATCTGCTCAGTTTTGGAAGCTTGTTCTTTTGTTTTCCAGCCATCCAAAGAGGAAGGAAATGAAGAAAAGACAGAAGAGAATTTAACTACCTTATTTCCTGGCCAGAAAAGGAGGATCTCTCACCTTGTCAAACAAGGAAATGTAAGTGAAACTCTCAGAAGCAAAAGTTTAGATTCTGGAAAGTGAGGATTTTCTGTCCTGTTACAACCCTGGCAAACAATGCAGCCTAGCTTCAAGCAGTAGTGTTAGTGCTGGAATCCATCTGCATCAGTTTTCTTCCCTCCCCTTTCTGATTTCTGAAAAGGATGGCTAGGCATGTTACAAATGGCAGCAAAACTGTGATAACTTTCATAAAACCAAGGGTAAGCTATGGAAGAGTAAATGGGTTCTGCATCTTGCCACACATTGAGATGGACTGAGAGCTTCGTATAGCTTCATCCAATCACTGAAATAAAAACTAGCTGGACCCAAGGTCAGTCTGGGTCTGCTGGTACTTTTCTTTGTCTTGTGGACCTAAATGATAGCTGTAGGAATTTTGTCATGTGTTTCAAACCATTACCTTGTGTCTGTTCCCAATCAGCCAAGATACCAACTGTATCTTGTTTGATACTCTTCTTTCACAACTGTGAAAATACTTAAAGTACAGAGGTGAAAAATAACAGGAAAAAGCCAAGGAAGACATTCTGATTTCTTTTATTTCTTTCCCACTGGGATTTTAATTCATGTTTTCTCTGAGGGTTTAATGTGTTTCCCTCCAGGTGCTGAGTACAGATTAGTCAGCTTTATGTTCTAGCAGGATAAGAGTGGAGACTTAGGCACCGATTAGAGCTGGGGAGTGCAAATTAATTGTTCTCCCTTTCTTCCCTGCCTAGAAAAGGTTTCTTTTAATAATTTGAAGCCCTGAGGTCAACACAATGTGTTTTATTTAACTACATATCTTCAGCCAGTTCATGTGTTTTGATAAGGGCCCTTTCTTCCCAAGTGAAGAGATAAGAGGCTGAAGCAAATGGGTTGGAAATTCATTAACTCAAATATTTATTGTAAATGGGTGCCTTTTAGACATGTGCAAATCTTTCCATACATTTTCTTAATGTGACAGCTGATCCCAAAATGCTTTCCAGAGATGTGAGTCCCAGTGTAGCCGTTGCATGGGCAAACAGAGCCGATCTGGTGTGCTCAGCAGCAGCGGCTGTGAGCACGCACTGGGACCTGCGTTCCCTGGATAACCTCAGCCTGGTGCTGCTGTCAGCTCTGCTCAGGAGGTGCTGTAAGACCTGAGCTGCTGCTTTTACACACACACAGTTATGGCTCCTGCTTTGCTGTGTTGCTCCAAGTCGAATGCTTGTTCTGTCTGTGCTTGTGTTTTATAGCTCCAGGACTGAGTAAAGCAGAAGGGGAGGGAGGCGAGTTCTAGTTTAGTTGCTGGGGGAAATGGTGGGCCAAAGGAATTGAAGGTGAGGCAGAAAATGAGTGTCCTGTCCTGCTCAGAAGTCTGTAATTACACTTAATGGCTGACTGCATGCACTTTGGTATCCAGAAGCTGGTGTCAGCATCAGAGACAAGGAATGCAGGAGGTGCCAGCTTGCCCTTAATTTGTGGTCTCCGAAACACTGTGTTACTCATGGTCTGTTCGAATGCACCCTTCTCAGAAGAGATTTTATGAAGGAAGGCCTGTTTCTCACAGTTCAAAGGTTATTAAGTAGTGTGGAGAAGTTTCTACTACTGATGCTTCTCTTCTGCTACAAAACTTCTCTCTTTGCTGACATAATTTCTGGCGCCTTTCCTGCAGCCTAATTTTGGACATCAAAGAAAATGCATGTGGGACTTGTTTGTGCTGGTAATGGCTACAGCAGTGAAATGCCTCCAAGAAATAGGCAGGGGCAGAGCCTGTTGGAAGTTCAGAGCTCAGTTTATGTAATGCTCTAATCCCATCAGTATCCATGTGAGCAGTTACAGGAACTAGAGCCCCGAACCAAAGCTGCTGAGAGGTTTGGAGCTGCTATAAGGCAACGGTAGATGGCTCTCCAGCATGGGAAAGAGAGGGAGTGAATTGGAAAACTCAAGTGTCACATAGCAAAGGGGAATGCAGAGTAGTTGGTTGGTTTTTCATTGCAATATAAACTAAAGGAGAGTGCAGTAGGCAGCAAGGAGCTGAGAGTGTGGACAGCATCCAGAACCTGAAAGGAAGTTGTAGTAAGGTGGGATTCGTCTCTTCTCCCAAGTAACAAGTGATAGGACACAAGGAAATGGCCTCAAGCTGCACCAGGGTAGGTTTAGGCTGGAGATTAGGAACAATTCCTTCCCCAAAGGGTGCTCAGGCATTGGAACAGGCTGCCCAGGGCAGAGCTGGAGTCATCATCCCTGGAAATGTTCCCAAACCAGGCAGATGAGACCCTTTTAGTGCCATGGGTTAGTGGTGGCCTTGGCAGTGCTGGGGAATGGTTGGACTTGATGAGCTTCAAGGTCTTTTCCAACTTGGCTGATTCTATGATTCTAAGTGGGTTAGGCACAGTGATGGGGACCATCATGCCATTAAGCCAGCAGTTCAAATACCACTTTACCAATTTAGGAACATGCCAGCGTGCTGGGAGGCCTTGCCAGAGGGCAGATCATTAATGTCATGGTCTTTGGTGAGTGCCTATGTTCTGGAAGGTGGTTGGGATCTTCTCTCAAAAGCCTGTATTTGCTGATGGAGGGGAGTTGAGGAAGAGAGACCTTTGTTGGGTGAATGGAAGCCAGAGGGTGGGAGTGAGCAGGCGAGCGTGCTGCCTCTCAAACCTTTCTGTCTGCAGGCTGAGGTCCCGAGCAAGCCCATAGTGCGGCCGTACCGTCCCCCCACGGCTCAGGAGGTGTGTTACCAGAGGATCCAGCTGGCTCAGCAGCAGGCAGCACAGCTGGCTGTGGCCGTGCAAAAGGCCTCTCTTTCCTTGCCAGGAGAAAAGAGGAGGATTGCTCATGTGCCAAATGTAGCCCTCTCCGCAGCGGCCAAACAAAGTAAGCCAGCAGCCTTATCTCTGATCTCTCTGTCCTGTCCTCTCACCTGCTAAAAGACACTGATTTCTGTTTAAACTTCTCCTGAGCAGATGTGAAACTCTCAGATGTGGGGCATTGGCCATGGCTTGACTCTGTCCTGTTAGTGACCAGTGGAAAGTCTTTACCCTGAGATATTCCATCCTGTGAAAAGCAACAGACTAGATATACAGCCCTGTTCCTTCCTGTCTCACCCAGCCTCCGTCACTTCAGCCTGTTCTATTTCTGTTTCTGCCTTGGAGCACATTTGCTCATTTGCTCTTCCATTTAAGCTTCCAGAGATGGCACGAACAGGAGGGAAGTACTAATTAATGCTCATTGGTATCCCTTTGTAGTTGGAAGGACTCAGAGGTGACGTGACGGGTAGTTAGTGAGTATAGCTGACAGGGTTACCTCTTTAAACTCTGCTGACTCAGTTACCCCAAAACAAACAGAAATGAAGCACGTTTCCTGGCAGAAGGTTCCTTCATCCTTGCCTGGAAGGTGGCAAAATTGCCCAATTTGTATCCCTTTGGAGGCTTCCATTTGAAAAAAGCACAGCTTGCAGCATGGGCCTTTTATAGTAAGTGTCTTCTGGCTACTTGAAGCCTAGTGGCAGGATTTTACCTTTTCTGTTTCTTACAGGCCTTGTGAGTAGTAAGACGTCTGCTGCTGGCAGGAGTGTCACACCTTCCAATGACTCTGAAGCACCCACCCTTTCTTTGAAGGCTTGCACCTTAGCTGGGATGGCTTCAAAGACCACCAGCACCATCATGCCGAAAAGGATAGCACATGTTCCCTCCTTACAGGTAAGAAACTGGAAATCTCTCTGGTCATTCCCCATTGAGGTTTAACCAAGCTGCTCCAAACTTAGCTCTCTCTGAAGAGCAGTGTTTTGATTAGGTTGATTAAAAGGGATTGTTTCTTCCTGTGGTTTTCCTCGATAGCATTGTATAAAAAATTAAACACTTGAGGGGCAGAAGCTTAAAAAGATAGAAATACTTAAGTGCTGCTCTGATCTCTTTGAATATTGATCCCTCCTCTTCAGCCTGAGCCTTCTGTTGTGCTCTGTGCCTAGGTGTGGAGCTGTTTGTGTCAGAGACTTGGAGCCTTTCGCGTTCAAAAGGCATGGCTGGATTAATGACCTTCCTGGGCTTTGTGGGCTGTACAAAGGAAGGTGGTTATGAATAATGGCCCACAGTGACCTGTGTAGTTAAAATGTGATCATTTAAACTTCATACTGCTGTTAGTATTTGGGGGAAAACCTCCTTTTTTTTTTATCTTTCCTTTTTCCCCATGAATACCTGCCTTAGTTTTTGGGTACTGGTGCTATGGGTTCCTTAGCACAGAAGTCCCTCCTTTCCTCATGAGCACTGGGGAACAAGTTACTCACTAAGTTCCAAATACAGTTCCTCATGTAGCAGCAGGTGATGGCATAAGCAGCTGTTAGCTGGAATGGATGGCAGGGAATGTCCTGGTTAATGCCAGGGCTTGATTTAAGGTTATCTTTATTGATGATATCTTGTGTCAAGATATAACTCTGCTTATTTCTCTAGGAAGGAGAAGTCGCTTTCTTCCTTCCCCACCCAAAAAGCCACCATAGTAACGTAGAACTTGAAGGTGATTACAAATAAAAGAAACAACTGAAAAGATAAAATATTTACCAGTGTTACAGAGGTGTTTCAAGGGTGTCATATGAGAAAATATATATTTGTAATGAAAAGGACCAAATCCCTGTGAACAGGTCATTAAAGTGGAAGTCTCATGAGGAAAATGAGTACTCTTCATTGAGTTAACCAGTTGTTCCCCCTTGAACGTGCTCATATCTTCAGTGGAGCTGGTTTTATTGCATAATTGCAGCAAATGGTTTCATTTGTGGATATCTCTTGGGTGGGATGGAGACTGACAAAACAATTTGGGTGCTTTAGAGGTGAACATACAATTTCTTCTCTGGAAAAGAGGCAGATTGTGTGATCTGAGGGGTACACTGATGTTTAATGGAAAACTGCAGTGATGGGTTGTAACTCGGTCCAGTGTGCTGGTTTTGTGCCTGAAGAACATGTCATTCAATTTAAGGGGGAAATCTTTTCAGGAGTATCACGATTTGCATTAACAAAAGAAGAAAACCCAAGTGCAGGAAACTTAAAGGAATCCTGCAGGAAGTGTGATGATTTAGTTGGCTGCCAGCTTGGCAGGAGTGGTTCTCCCATTCTCTCTTCACAGCCAGAGCACCAAAAAGAGTATCATGTCTGTTGTGCACATAACTGTTGTGTGTTCATGTCTGCAAAGCGTGGTGCTTGGTACCATCCTCATCTTGAGCCTGCTAATTCAAACATCAGCATTCTTGTGGTCTGGAATGCTTGCGTGTGTAAATGTAGTATTGTGACTAATGCCGCTGGGAGTCTTTGGCTGCTGGATGAATTGTGTAATGAAACGTGGTTGTTTTCTGAGGTAGTTCAAATACTGAAGGTGGCACAAAAGCTTCAAGTGGTGTTTCTAGTCCCAAAAATGATGCATGTTATGCTTAGCTTTGGGCAGATTTTCAAAAAGGAAATTGTGCCACTATTAATAACAGGTCAGGAAATGTGACAGTCTCAAAGCAACATACTTCTTAAGCCCTGAATAGCCTCTTTCTCTCTCCCTGTCTCATCTCTAGAGCACCAGCTTACAGAGGCCTGTTATTCCCACAGAATTTGGTGCTAAAGTCCCAACAAACATTCGTCAAAGATACCTGAATCTCTTCATTGATGAGTGCCTGAAATTCTGCTCTTCCTCCCAGGAAGCGTTTGACAAGGTCTGTACAAATGCTTGCTGCTTATGAATCAAGTCCACAGCAGTGAATAACCTCCTCTGCCCTGGCTAAGACCTTCTAAATTGCAGCAAACCCACAACAGAACTGCTGTCCACATACAGTTCTGTAGACTGGCATTAAATAATTCCACAGTGGATCACAGGAAGTGCAGTTCCAGGGGGGGTTCCAGTAGGAAATCCCATCTTTCATTCAGAAAGCATTCACAGTCTGTTTAGTAGGGGAATGTGTGTTATGGTGAAGCTGGACAAAAAGGCCGTTAGGTCTGGTACAGCAGCAGATAAGGCCTGGAATCTGAGTGTTCAGCACTGATAAGTGAGATAGATGTAATTGGTAAAACTTGCTGCTTATGAAGGCTTTCAAGGAGGCTTTTAAGAAGCCTTCTAATAGTAGAGAATAGTATAGTAGGGTTTCCAAAAGCAGAGTTGTGAAAGTGATCTGTTTTATTGGAAAACTTTGGCTGTTAATGTTAGTTGGGTAAATATGGGACATGGTATGCTGTGTTTTGTAACCAAAGCGGATGCCACGAGGGTTTCTTTTGTGGGATTTCGCCTTCACAGTTCTCTAAGGGGAATGTTCCTGTTGCATCCAAGGAGTGACTATTTGTCAAACTTCCTTTCTTGCCAGTTAAGATTTTGCATTGCCACTGAAGTGGAGAAAACGGCCTTTCCCTGGCACTTGCACAGCTGCTTTGTTAATCTGTCAGGGATGGTTTCACATGAAAATGCTTCTTCTAGCACTTTGCTTAAAATACAGTTATTTTTTTCCTCTTAGTCACCTAAGCAAGCCCCAGAATCATCCTTGGCTTCTCTATTTTAAGAGCCAAGCATTTTTGTTCTCCAGCAGCAGCAGTGGGAAGGGAGGGTGTAATAATGAATTGCACTGTTTGCAGGCCCTGTCAGAAGAGAAGGTGGCTTACGAACGTAGCACCAGCCGCAACATCTACCTGAATGTGGCAGTGAACACCTTGAAGAAGCTCCGAAGCCTGGTGCCCAATTCCCCCAGCAGCACGAACAGTACGTACCACGTTTGTGGTTTACTAATCAGAGCCCTGCTTGGATTAGAAGCCACCGAGAGAAACTTGTTGAAAAGACAGCCCCATTTCTCAGAAGCATTATGCTGAAAGGCAAACAACTCCAGTTAGCTTTTTATAGCCTAGCAAGCTTTAATGGGCCTTCAAGAGGCAAGTCCTACAATGCTTTGTTGGCTCTCTGCACCTAAATGGAGATAATGCCACATGGATTATATTTTTTTTTAGCACAAGTTCTTTAAAATGAAAAGCCCCACTAATGGAGTAACTTTCACATGATGCCTTCAAAGTGATAGACTCGTCCATCACCGCAGAAATCTGTTACACACATTAAGCTTCAAGAGAGAAACGAAGAGGGTTAAGACATTTCATTATTGGCTCTCGAGAGGGTACATTAAACAATCAATTTGTGCTGTTCTTGTGAATTTTTTTTTTCCCCTGGTCTCTTCCCTTTTCTCCCCTCTGTCTTCATTACCCTCATGGCCATTAGTCAGAGCAGCTGAACTTGGGAGGCTGGCCTTTAGGAGAGGCCTGCCAGTTAATGATTAGTAAAAAGCACCTCTCTGCCATTATCTGAAGTGCTGAGTATATTCTAGAGCTCTGAAGCTCTTTTCTGAAAGAAGTTGAAAGATTCAGCATGGGAGTCTGGTCTGCAGGGACCTGACAACAAAGCTGCTCTCTGCAGGTGGCTGATGCCACCAGGCAGCACATGACCAGCTCGAGTTGCTTCTGTGCTTAGTCCTCTCTTGCCTTTGGTCAGTAGGATGCTTTCTATGCAGAGTAAGCAGGTAGAGCTATTACAGGTTTGAAGGGGAACTGTAAAAATGGCATTGCTGCCCTTAAAAAGAAGTTGCTGTGAACTGACAGTGCAAAGAGAAAGCTCCCCATCGTGCTGGAATGAAAATACTAGGCCACCACCTCACACATGCCAGTTACTGGAGCAGAGCAAGAGTTGCAGAGGGTAATTGCAGTCCTCCTTTTACCAGTGTGTAGTGCCCCAAACTCTAGGACTAAAGTCACTTAGCTGGTTATCTGATCTCTGTCCTGTTTTGCTGCTTCCCTTTTCTCACTGCAGAGACAAGTAACAAGAAAGTGGTGTCCCATGAAGCTGTGCTCGGAGGGAAGCTTGCTGCTAAGACGAGTTTTACTCTAAACCGGTCAGGGAGCTTGAGAGCAGAGGATTTAACAGGTAAGGCCCTGCTCCTGTGAGGCTGTAACCTGTAAATTATAGCTGGAGGTGTAACACTGTGACTGGGGAGAGCAGGATCTGGCTGATGCCTGAAGTGCTGTGACTTCTGCCAAGGGCCTATAGGGACAGGCCAAGGGGAATGGCTTTAACCTGACAGAGGGGAGACTGAGCTGAGCTCTTAGGTAGAAGCTCTTCCCTGTGAGGGTGCTGAGGCGCTGGCACAGGGTGCCCAGAGAAGCTGTGGCTGCCCCATCCCTGGCAGTGCTCAAGGCCAGGTTGGACACAGGGGCTTGGAGCAAGCTGCTCCAGTGGAAGGGGTCCCTGCCCGTGGCAATGGTTGGAACTGGAGGAGCTTTAAGGTCCATTACACCCCAAACCATTTCATTAGTCTATGATTTATCTGCAGGCCAGTGTTAGGGACATTGCCTGATTGCTGTGCAGTGCTGCAGTGTCAGTGAATGTCACACCACTCATCAGCACCTTCTTGCTTCCCCACTTCAGGCTGCAAGTTCACTGATGTAGCCCGCATGGCTTTGATGTAACATCAGTAACTGCTCAGAGCTGCCTCATGTGTTTTGGGTATTACTGACCTGGGCTCTTTTTTCTGTCTGGATTTTACTTGAACTTTCTTGCCCTGAAGCAGTGCTTCACAATGTGCCTGTCAGATTAAAAGCCAAACTTTCAAATACCTCCTCTGGCTCTTCAGGGCTCAGTTTCACATTTACGAATGTCATAGTAAGGTCATATTGTAGCCAAAGGATTGTGCCACAAGCATTATTCTTGTTGGTTCAAATTGGTTATGGGTATTTTGGTTGCCAAGAGATGCAGGCAACTAGTTGAGGAGATCAGAGAAGAGGCAGGCAGGCCATGGAGCAGAAGGAATTGACATGGAGAAAGCTTAAAAGGGCCTGTATAGCACAGCTAAGCAACATCAAAGAGCGCACAGCAATATTGGAAGGGTTTAACATAGCAGCAAAAGAACAGATATTGAGCAGAGGGCAAGATGTTATAATTGTTCTGTGAAATGAAATGAGCAGCCTCAATTCAACAACAGGAGGAAAACTGCTGATAATGAAGTTTTTAGCTAGCTGTGGTGGGCTTTTAATGGGGGATTCTTTGGGCTCTGTTCCATATTATCAGTTAAAGCATTTAAAACAGTAAAATGCAAAAGTCTCACGTTAACAAAAAAGCCCCTTGGAGAAATTTGGTTTCAGCTGTGTTTTCCAGATGTAATGAAGGGGTTAAAGGGCACCAGTAACCAGGTCTTAAAAAATGCTGCCCTGACACCTATTTCCCTGTCAATCCTGAACAAAGGCAGAGGAAGCAAGTTCAAAATAGTGGGCGCCCCTGCCAGGAGGCTCGATAGAGCAAACACCAGGAAGAGAAACAGCCCTTACTTAAGTGATGTGTCTTCAGCATTGTCTTGTGTGTGGCAGGGGCTGCCTTGTACCGGCGACTGAAGGAGTATCTCATGAGTGAAGAGCAGCTAAAGGAAAATGGTTACCCAATGCCTCACCCAGAGAAGCCTGGCCGTGCTGTCCTCTTCACTGCAGAGGAGAAGAAAACAACTGACTGTAAGCTCTGCTGGCTCTTTCATTCTGCCAGGTTTGATAGATACATCACACCTGGAAATGCCTGTCCTGCTTGCAAGTGCTCTTTTTGCATAAGCATGTTCATGGTCCTCATTTGCTCCATTGGCTGTGACCTCTGTCTCTGTAGGCCAGCCAGTGGCAGAGGAGAGGAGTGTGGCTGCAGGAGTCTGCTGTGTTTCTGGAGGATGAGTTTCTTCAGCTTGCCTGTCACAAGGATATGATTTCTGACACAAGGTTTATGGTCTGTGGCCCATGGGGCTGTGAGGCTGAGGGAGGTTTCTGGTTGCTGCCAAAGAACATGAATTGGTCAGGTTGCCTCCCTGGACAAGCTGTCTTCACTGCACTATCTTGGAGGCTGCCTGCTGCCTTTGCAATGGAAGTGGTCGGAGAGAGGCTCCTGCTCAGCATCTGATGATGCTCCCCTCTTGCAGGGGAAGGATTTTTGTGTGTCTCTATGCACAATGATAGAGTGGGATGTGGGCCAAGCTGGTTGTGCATCATGTCTTGCTGGTTTGGTTTGCATAGGTTTCTGCTTGACCTGGGCCAAGTAGTTCCCAAAAGCCCTTTTTGCAACAGGACAAAAATGATCCCCTCAGATTTCCTCAGGATAGGAAAGGGTCTTCCTCTGTCTGACCTTTCTGATCTCCTGTAGCAGCATTTATGCTTCTCAGACTGATTGAAGCAGGCTGTGGTGCAGTAGGGGTAAAACACGTACTAGGGCTGTATTTTGAGGTGCATTGCCACACTCCTCTGAGCATCTCTTTGGATAGACCTTGCTGGATTGTGTTAAGTGCTCATCCATATTAACACCTTGTGCCTACATTTGTCCTGTGGTTGCTGAAGGAACCTGTATGAAAGCTCTCTTGCATTAACACTGTCAGGTACTGTATTTGTCAGAGCCTGTTTCTCCAGTGAACCACCCAGCTCCTTCAGAGGCTTCTGAGATTATGTTCCTGGCTTGGTTTCTATAGTGTCCTGTAGATGTTGCAGGACCTTTGAATTTGTCCTTAGTAGGTATTGCTGGTCCATTAATGCTGTGACGGTCAGTGGACAAAAGTGGGTTAGACCTGTGTTATGGAGAGCTGGGATGTGCTAGCACCTTAAATGCCCACACTCAGGGAATTGCAGAAATCAGTCAACCCTTTCTCTGTGCTTTTTGCATCTCTCATCTCTGAACTGGGGGCAATACAAGCACAGATGACAGGAGGGAGAAGTCTGTAACTGCCCCCTTGGTGGAACAGGCATTCCTGGGTTTAGATGCTGGAGAATCCTTACAGAAAAGCTGTGCCCAGAAAGAGCTAGAATGCCATTTGGAAGTGACAAGGCACAGATCCCCTGGAAACCAGGCTTCATTAGCTCCCATGTCCAAAGAATGACTTATGTATCCTGTTTCTTAAAATAACTGTATTGGAGTACAACGTAATTTGCTGTGGATGGAGAAATAATGCAGCAAATGCTGATGTGAACTGTGTTGAAGCTGATGTTGAACACAAAAAACTGCAGGGGGTCTGTGAGAAGCATTTGGGAGGGCAAATGCTACAGGACTGCAGTTTTAGGGGGATTGTTGTGTCTTTGTGGGAGTTGGGAACAACATTTGGAATCCTTTTTAACAGGAAGAGTTGTTTCACCAGTATTTGGGGCTTCAGTGATTCTGATTTACTTCTGCTTTGGCCAAGTTAAACAGGTGAAGGATTTCTAGTGACCTGATTCTTGCTTCTGTCTTCTCTTAAAGCATCCTGCAGGATATGTTGTCGCTGTGGCACTGAGTACATGGTCTCAGCATCTGGAACCTGCATTCGCAAAGAGGAGTGTGTCCATCACTGGGGAAGGCTACGCAAGCAGAGAGGTATAGCAAAGCCCTTCAGAGAGGGCTTGTTACATGCTAGCTGTGCTCCAGCTCCAAACAGTTTTCCTCGAGCACATCCTGCCTCGGAGTTGAGTTGCTGTGGAGTATTTTGTGGCTTGTCATGCTGGCAGGTGGTGACAGTTCCCAGTTTTGTCACTGGGTGGCTCTGCCGCTGCTATAATAGCCTTGCAAAGAGCTGCTGGGATGTAGTGGTACCGTCCTGGGAATGTACCCCTGGGGCTGGAGCAGAGGTTGTGCATCTTTCTGGTTAAGAAGAGTAAAAGAAAGAGCAAACCTTCCTGTGCCTTTTGAAAAGAGTCAGCCTTTTTTAGGAAGCTGGCTGGGGAGTACTAGGTGTCTGTCACTGCCCAGGAGAGTTTACTGGCCATTTACAGCCAGGCACTAACCTGGTTTGAGCTCTGCTGTGGTTTTCCATCAGAACATCCAGGCTTTTGGAGTTTGTCTGCCTGAGTATGAGAAATTTAAGCTCTTCAGGTTCCTATGTGTGAATCCATACTTATTTTCCCCCTTTGTTTGACACATTATTATTGCTATGCTTATCCTGGGTATCTCTTCATGTGAGAGCTAAAGGTTAGATCTCTTGTTTAACAGGACTCTCCTCTTTGACTCTTATCTCTTGCTCTTTCAGTGCCAGGCGGATGGGAAACTCATTACAGCTGCTGCTCAGGAGCTGTGGGTTCACCGGGCTGCCAGGTTGCTAAAGTAAGTTATTGAGCAACACCTTTTTGTTCTCAATGACATTTGTCCTCTGCTTACAGTGCTGATGGCTGTATGATTATTGCTTATGCCTTTAGAAGAACGGTGGCTTCCTTGAAGGGGGGAAACCAAGTACTTCTTAAATATCTTTTGCTATGCAAAGGTAGGAGAATTCAGTGTTTGGCAGGAGGGAGAAGACTGAGCTGTCTGGAGTGAGGTGGTTTCATTTGCTCTAAGCAAATGTCAGTGGATTTAAGCTGCCCAGTAAAAGCTCAAATACAGACTTCTTTAAGGAAACATTGAATAAATGATAAATAAAAGATTTCCTTGCAAGGAGCAGTCCTTGGGCCTTGATAACAGTGTGCCAAAACCTTTCTCCCATTTTTATCTTTCCCAGAAGCCCATGCTAAGTAACTTTCTGCTATAGGCCAGATCTTCTCATAGTTTTCTGTTACTACCTGCCCTTGTTGTCTTAAGGGGAGGAACATTCCTAAGGATCTTATTGTAACTCATAAATATTATACCTCTTTGAGTAACAAGATGGGGGAGGGATCCCAGCACTACAAAGCAGAATGAAAAACCTGCTCAGGGACAGAGTTTTGGCCCTTTGATGTAGCTGAACAGGGTCATACCCAGTGGAAGAGGTTCCACATGTATAAAGCATCTTCTTGTCCCACTGTTTTAAAGACCTTAAGTGATACAGGGCCAGCAAGGCTGGCTGTAGGTTCTGGAGAGGCGTGTGTCCTTGTTCTGGCCAAAAGCTAGAGCTGGGAAGTGAATTCTTGGGCAAAATTCAAGGTTTCTTAAATAGGAAGTATTGTCTGTATGGGCACTACAAAAGCGTGCCCTGCGCAGTCTGATGTGAAGCATGGGTAGGATCAGGCAAGCTGCTGCTTCTGTTTCTTTTCATGTACAATGAGGATCTCTTTTTTCATTGGTATTCCAAAAAACCATCCAGCAGGGAAGTTGGGAGGATTGATAGGGCTATAAAAATATGACTGCTGTGCATGTTTTTACATGGCTGTTGTACACCATAAACATTCATGGCCTTTTAAAACACACAGTGTCTCTAATAGGCTCCTACTCAATGGAGCATGATGCCAGTGCTTCAGGGCTCAGGCATCCTTTCACATCTGCCTCTCCATTGTTGTGCTGCTGCATTTCTCTATGTTCTTCTGGCTTCCTTGGTTTTCTCATCCAAATGAGTGAATTTCACAGGATCCTTTGATAGATTTAAGGTTGGAGTCTATAGCCTGCTCAAGATGAGGGTATACAATGAGATACTGGGGAGCACAGTATCTTTCAGCTTTAAAGGCGTTGAAAAGAGTAAATATTTGTAATAAGAAGCTGTTCTAAGTAAGGAGATCTGTAGCTGGTTAGAAAAGAAAATCAGTGTCTTCTTCCAAATAACATTGGAGATGGGCCTGTCTGGATTAGGCTGCAGTTTGCCAGTGTGGCAGGAGATGGCAGGATGGAGCTGTGCTCATACCTACTGCTCCACAGGAGCAGATGGGTCTGAAGGTGATGTTCTTTGTGATAACTGAGTCTGCTTCTTCGGTCAGAAAAACAGGAGCAACTTCTCTGCCCTCCTGTCAGCGAGGAAGAATTGGACAGCTGAGAATATCTGCAGAAGTGTTCAAGGCCAGGTTGGACACAGGGGCTTGGAGCAAGCTGCTCCAGTGGAAGCTGTCCCTGCCCGTGGCAGGGGTTGGAACTGGATGAGCTTTAAGGTCCCTTCCAGCCCCAAACCATTCCATGATTTTGTGATCAACTAATGTAGAAAATCACCTTTTTTCTTTCCTTTGCTGCCCAGTTATATTGTATGACAGAGGGAGAGAGGGGCTTGAGCTGCAAGGGAGAGAAACATTTGCTATCTGTTGGCCTGCTAATCTGCAATTTCTGTAGCAAGATAGATTCATGGGCAAGTATGGCCTCTTGCTCCTGGGAAACAACTAACCATGAGGCCTTTGAACTTTGGATAAAGGGACAGATTGGATTTGGTGTTGTCCCAGCTGCCTTGTTAATGTCAAATGATGCAGTTTTCTGCACTGTGGCTGCACCTGCAGTGAAAACTTGTGGAGGAATATATGCAGATGTTCTCCATCTCAGTACAGGTTTCAGCTTTACCAGTGCCTCAGTTCCTCATCTCTCCAGTCTTTCTGTCCTGAGACAAACAAGTACAGTTTGACTCCTTGTAGGGTGAGATCTGTGAGAAGCACCATGAAGGAGGCTGTACAGGCTGCTGTGTGCAAATACATTGAGATTGAAGGAGAGACAAAACTTACACAAAACAAAACACCCTCTGGAGAGCAAGGGAGAGACACCTCTGGGTGTGGTGCTGCAGTTTAACCATGTTATTGGGCAAAAGGGCAGTCACAGCCTCTGCCTTGCCCTCCATTACCTCTTCCTGCTTCCCCTCGTGCCGTGGGGCAAGTAACCGAATCACTGCAATCCTACAGTTTAAAGCTTAAGCCAGGAAGGCTTTCAGGCTGACCAGGTAGGGTGGATCTGTGCCCGCAGAGGAGAGTGGGAGTTGCACTGTTGCAGCAGTGGCTTAGTGTTGCATTGGCTTAAGGCACTCATGAAATCACTTCCTGAGTTTTCCTGCTGGCTCAGGGAAGCTCTTCAGTGCTGGATCTTAGATCCTAGAGCTTTAGCTGGCGATAATGAAGGGTGGTTGGAAGTACTCTCTGTTGCCTCAAGTGCTCGTAGGCAGTAGCTGCTGTTTGTGAACTGTCTGCTTTTGGAATACAGTGGTATTTATTTGTACACACATATAGATGTGTGTTCTCTATGGGTTCTGATACATCCAGTGCTAATGCTTGAATGAGGATGTCTGGGATTTGAATCCTGCACCTGGCCATGTCTCAGCCTCAGGCTAAACCAGGAACTCAGCACTGGAGTTAGATCAGCACAAGACTCAGCGTGACCCTTCCTGGGGAATTTCATTCTGAGTTGAGAGTTGAAAGTCCCTAGGTGAGTGATGTCTTGCTCCTACTCAGCATGATGCCAGTAGCCCTGGTCTGGCTTTGGAATCAGGGTTGCACATGGCTATGTTTGCTGTTGTGAGCTTCTCTGACTGGCAGGCAAAACTTCCTCCCTGTTAACCTCTAGAACTAATAACAGAAGTATTCCTGTTTGAGTGGACTTTGAGTGGGAGGTTCTCTTGGAGTGGACTTTTGGGGTTCTTGTTCCTACAGTCAACAGTTGTCCATCGCACCCCTTTTTTTGTTGTCTTTCAGCAACACGTCCATGATGGGAGGAAGGAGAGCCTTGATGGCTTTGTGAAGACTTTTGAGAAGCTGCCTACAACTGATGGCTACCCTGGAATCTATGCGTTAGACTGTGAAATGGTAGGTTCCTGATGATAGGAATTCCCTTTTTGAGGAAGGCTGAGGGTGTAGTACAGGTGGCTGAAGGAAAGCTCTGTTTTCTTACCATCTTCTTTCCTTTCTGCTGTGGGCTGTAAATCATAGTGGTCCTGTGCATTTAAATTAGCTCTTATTAATGACTTTTAGCAATGTGTGTTTCACCTGGGGGCTGTGAGCACCCTGGAAAAGCTCTAGCTAGCTGGTCAGTACTGAGCAGTGTTTGCTGCCTGGCCTGGCTACACTGGATGTGCTGCATTCCTCCAGGGAATGGCTCCATTGATACCACTTATCTTCATGTCTGCTCTGTTGCTTGCAGTGCTACACTAAGCAAGGACTGGAGCTGACAAGAGTAACGGTGATCAACTCTGACCTGAAAGTGGTATATGACACCTTTGTCAAACCAGACACCAAGGTGGTGGACTACAACACCAGGTAAGGACAGTATTCCTTGGGTCCCAGGTCTGTGCTCAGAATCAGGAGCATAGGGGGAATGGCTGGGAGCGCTTGTGGAAACTCCTCTGACCATCACTTCCAATGGCTGGGACACTTTGGCCCTGAGGTGTTCTTTTAGTGAAGGGAGCCCTCCCTTCTGCTCTCACTCTGCAGGTTCTCAGGTGTGACAGAGGAGGACCTGGAGAACACTAGCATCACCCTGCGGGATGTCCAAGCCGTCCTACTGAACATGTTCAGTGCAGATACCATTTTGATAGGGCACAGCTTGGAAAGTGACTTATTTGCACTAAAGGTAACTTGCATGTCTTGCATTTATGCCTCCCTCTACCTCTTTCCCACCCTGGTTTGTGTTAGATGTCTCCTTTAAATTTAGGAGCTGTTTATTTCCAGTAGCCAGGAGGACACAATAGATCTGTCTTGTCTCTGAGTCAGTGTGAAGCTGTTTGTGGTGGAAAAGCAAGGGAGTAGGTCATATGAGGGTGAAAAAGAGCAGGTTGGAAGGACTGATCCCGAATCATTTGCCTTTCACCCCTGCCATACAGTCAAGAATCCTTTGATGGTGTCAGCATCCTTTAACAGTGACCCTGGCTTTAAGATGTGCTCAGGTCACAGCATGAACAGGGGAGGCTCTGGAGTCCCCTGTGACTTCTGGATGTCCACAGTAACTATTTTAGAAGCAGTCCAAGTCTCTTTTTTGCCTCTGCCACTGGAGATAATTATCAGAGTTTCTCTCCTGATGGTGAAATGTCTCTTTTCTCTGAGTGAGGTTCTCTGCCTGGTTTGCTGTGATTTGTGGTGTTACTTAGATCAAGCTATTTTGACCTTTCATCTGTCTTATTTCCTGCCTGGCCCTTGTCAGTCTGACCTGCACATCTCTCAGCTGTATCTGCTGTCCTGCAAGGGAGGTCTGTCCTCTCCCCTTGCACTCTGAGCACAGATCCCCAGGAGCTTGGCCGGGGCACCAAGGAAACGTGCAGCAGGAAGGAGCTGAGTCTGTAGTCTGTGCTTACAAGCCAGAGCTTCCTCCAGCCACTCTTTATCATGCAGCTGCTTTGATAAAGAAGCTGTGGCTGCCAACTTGTGGCAATGGTTTGGAAGCAGGAGGTTTTAATGCCTGCAAAGCGTTTTACCTCTCCGTGGCACCCTTTATCCCAGCCTCTCAGAGCGTTCATCATCATCATCAAAAAATTATTTACAGTTTTAACAGCACAAGATGACTGTGTTGGCCTCTTAGAGGCATGATTCTCTCTTAGCAGTGCAGACACTGCCAAGAGAATGAACCCAAGAGCAATAAAGCAGAGTGTGACAGGCAGTGGCATGTCAAGTCGTAATGTCTGAGGGCCGTGGCAGTAAAGTTGACATCTCGCTAATGGCCATGGCAAGCTCCAAATGGTGAGAGCATTCCCATTTTGATTTAAAGCTATATTATCCTATTTCCTCAGGCTTCCTGATCTCCATAAGTAATTATCATTGGGCCTGGGTGGATGCCAAACTTGACTGCAGTCGAGGAGAGATTATCCTTAACGTTGGCAATTCTGTACTCCAAAGGGTGTAGCAGGTTGCTGCTGTTAAACTCCAGCTGTTCTCAGGCATTACAGAGCTGGACTGTGAAACTATTAATGACCAAGATATGGGTTGTCCTGCAACGTGAGCTGGTGCATAAGAAGAGTCAAGGCAGAGGAGGAGACTGGATTATCAGGGTCCTGTCTGAGTCATTCGGTATTGAGCCGGGCAGAGCTGTCTTTTGGTCAGGCACACAGGCCTATCTCTGCGTTTTACTCCTGTACTTGAGATGTGGGACTACCTTCATCCACATTCCTTCAGCTCTCGTTGAACTTGTGCCAACAGAGGATTGACCTAATTTTAGCCTGAGAGTACAAAATTAGTATTTAAAGAAAGCCATCTTACCCTGTGTTTATGGACTCTGTCAAATGTGGCCTTCTGGCCCTCCACAGGGCCTTTGGTGAAGGGCAGGTAGCATGTGGACTGGTTCAGCATCTTCCTTCACCATGATGACACTTCATACCTAGAGGATGGCAAACCTCTTGCCTCTCCTATGTGCCCAGGCACTTTGACCCAGCTATGGGACCAGCCCAGGCCTCCCTCCCACACACTGTGTAGTTCCTTATGCCCAGGAGTACAGTATCTCTGTGTCTCATTTCATCCTTGCTTAGCTGGCACTGGTTAAAAACTTCCTGTTGACTCACTGATGACAGACTGGAGGTTTTCAGGTCAGTTTGCACCTTTAAGGTTAGGCCTTTTCTGTAGAAGCAGCGTGATGTGCAGTGGCTTGAGTACAGTTTTGACTTGCATATCCTTCCCACAGTTGTCCACATCTTGAGAAACAGCCCAAAGGCTTTGTGGGGTCAGTTGGCTCCTTGGCTTGGTTTTTCATTGTAAAAGACACTCGGAGCTATGCCAGCTTCTCCAGGCCAGGGGATTAAGAATTGGCCTGGCCTGTTTGATTTATACAAACCGGAGCAGCCCTGAGTATCTGCTGCTGTGAAGGTGCAGTTAGACAGGGCTCTGAGGGCAGCTATGTTGGCTGGCAGAGCCCTGGGAAGCCTGTGTGCATGCATCCTTCAAGGGGGAGTCATCTTTGATTCACCCAGAGCCTCTTGCAGGACTGGTTGGGCTGGAGCTTGGTGACAACATTCCACAGAGCCCGAGAGCCTGACCGGAAGGAGGATTGCTTTAGCATGGTTAATCCTAAGGAGTGTCCGTCCCTGTGGGAGAGGGAAAATAAGCATGTTTCTGTCCTGCTCCCTCCCTCCAGCTTATCCATGGCACGGTGGTGGATACCGCCATCGTCTTTCCCCACCGCCTGGGTTTGCCTTACAAACGGGCTCTCCGGACACTGATGGCAGACTACCTCAAGCGCATCATCCAGGACAATGGTGAGAACAAGGAGGAGCTCAGAGTGGGGGGGGTCTCGTGTTCCATCCCACCTGGATGTGGGCTCCTTAGACCTGCCCTTCTCTGCTCTCCCTGAGCCCCATCCTCTTGCTCCTGATCTTTGGTTTGCCCACACAGTATTTGGCAGTAGCTGTGAATGGCCAGCATGCAAGGTCTCTACCACAGTTTGTTTGAACCCTGCTCTGAGGGCCAGCAGCACTTGCTTCTTCCCTCTCTGTGCTAAGTAGGGACTAAAGAAGTGGTGTGAGAAGGCCAGAAGTAGCTCTGACAAGGCTATGTCATGCCCTCTCTGGCAAACTGAGATTGACCCTCCTGTTTTGAAGCATGGCATGTTCCTTTTAGTCTTCCTTGAGCACATAGGAAACATACTGCTGAGTAAATAGAGGCCTCTCTGACCTCCATAGCCTGAGGTCCTACAGACTAACAGCACTTCAGCCCTTAATTAAACCAAGGGAATGGTGCCAAGCTGAAGTCCAGCAAAGCATGTTTAGTGGAAATCCATCACTGTTGTTCCTGATGATCACAGATGCTGCTGTGGCAGAGGGCAGGAGTGTGAAGCAGGACGTTGTCTCAGGAAGCCTTGCTCTGTGCTGTCAGCAGCCCCTGTGCAGCAGAGGGGCTGCAGGGCTGTGGTGGTAACTGCCATCCTTGTCATTCTCTCCGCAGTGGAAGGGCATGACTCCAGTGAAGATGCCAGAGCTTGCATGGAGCTAATGGTCTGGAAGATCAAAGAAGATGCTAAAGTGAAACGATGACTTGCGCTTTCTCCTCCTCCTGTTCCTCCTCCACCTCTCTGAAGCAGTGCAATAAATACTCAGAGTAACACTGTCCACCTGTACGCAGCAGCATGCTACCCCAGGCTCCCCGTGCACTCCCAGGTACCTATGGGACTTCAGGACTCCTGCTGGCACTGCTGAATGGCACCAGCTCACTGCTTGCAGGTCCCTCTGACCACACAGTGGCTGGCAGATCCTCTTTACTCCACTTGAGGCATACTCTGTGGTACAATTGCCTTGTAGGCAAGGCAAGGTGGTTTTGAGTAGCACAACCAGAGAAAGAACTGCTTGGTTCCTAGAAGAAGTTTTTAGAGGTAGGTCAGATATGTGCAGAAGGATCTTTTTGGTTCAGTTAAAGGTAGATCTTTTTCCTTTTCTTTCAAATGTAACATATATTGCCTCTGCTCTAAAGCTGGTGGATTCCCAGTGTTTGGAGATGAGGGAGATGGAAGAAGGTTGGGCAGGAAGCTGTAAAGTGAATGGATTGCCTAGTTTGTGTGTGAATGGCAAGCAAAGGGTGGTGAGAGCTGAGGATCAAGCCATGTGGGAAGAGATCTGCGTGCAGTCCCACTGTGGAAGAGGAAGCCAGAGCCCCAGGAGACAGAGGTTATCTGTGAGAGGATGTGGTGGGAGCAGCAGGTCAGAGAGGAATGAGATGGGTCAAGGGGATTCACTGCCTGCTGCAACCCAGGGCATCTCTTTAGTGAGGGCTGGTGTCCTGATGCTGCAGTTGCTGCAGAAGGGGCAAACCAGCAGTGTCAGCCCTTGCCCAGAGCTCAGGTTGCTGTGTGTGTGGTAGTGAGGCAAGGGACAGAGGGGCTTGGACAAACTGGGCTCCCAGAGCCAAGCAGCAACTTGCAGCCTTCCAGGGGAGGAGAGTGGGAAGAGCAGGCAGTTGCAGGTTAGAATCATAGAATCAGCTAGGTTGGAAAAGGTCTTTCAGATCATCAGGTCCAACCTGAGCTTCCAGCATGTCTCCAGTGAGCTTGTCTGTAGGGATCAAGGTTTTTGGGAGCACCTAGGTGTAAGATTGCACCTAAGGGTGGCTCTGTGCAGTCTGCAGGACTTCCCACCAGTCTGTCCCTGAGAGCAGGGACTTGGTGCAGGCAGGAGCAAAAGCAATAGTAAAAATTCCTCTTTTAAACCAGTTTACACATTGGTTGTTTTGAGAAGAGCAGAAGACCCAGATATTATCTGACCCTTTGGACAAAAGCAACTGTCCAGTGTGTGCCTCCATCATGCTTGTGGCGGCTGGGGCAGGAGCATGGGTGCACTGGTGGCTCTGGTTGGGGGAACAGCAGAGCTGCTTGAAGTGGTCCCTGATAGATGTGGTTTTGTAGCTGAGGTCCAGGCCCCATTCTTAGCCCAGCCACTGCCTCAGCTGGAACTGTCACCGCTTCCCAGCGGTGGCTGCTGATGGCCCTGGCACGGGTGGGCTGCATGGCTGCGGTGGCAGCGCTGCATGGGAGCTGCTGGGCTTTGGTTCCTGTTGGAGCTGGGTCAGGCTCACTCCTGTAGCCACTGGCAGTGCTGGGTTGGAGGTTGGGGATGTGCTGTGTGTCCCCCAGCACATCCTGTGACCTCTGTGCCCAGTGTGGCTGGGGGGCTCTGCTCTCCCCATCCCACTGCTGTCCTCAGAGGTGAGGATGTGGCTTCCAGGGCCTGACCTCTACCAGGCTCTCCTGAAGCCACCAGCAGCACTGGGGACTGTGCAGGCCCCTGTTACTGCTGAGCCTTCCTGTGTTGCTTGTGGCAGGCAGTGGCACAGCCTGTTTGTTATCCCAGCCTTCAGGCTGTGCAGCTCCCTGCCACTGCTCCCTAGGGCACATCACATAGAATGTGATCACATCCAGCTCTCCTTTGCCAAGCTGCCTCCTTCCCTGCTGTAGGGCTTCCATGTGAAGCAGCCTTGGGACACTGTCTGGTCCCCCTCTCCCATTGCCTGCAGGGAACAATGTGTTCCTGCCCAGGCTGCAGAAGAGATGGGAAGTTCAGGGCTTCCTATCCAGGCAGGGAAGGTTTGTTCCTGCTTCTGCCTCTTTTCCTTCTTCATCCCCCTGTTTATCTCCCCCTGGCTGCAGTGAACGTGGAGCAGCATCCATCTACCCTGCAGCCACGTTAGAGCTCCGAGCTGGCTCTTGCCTCCAGGTTCCCCCATTACTGGACAGGCAGTCCCAGCTCCCAGCCCTCTCCCACACCCCCCTTCCCTGGGAAAGGCAGCATGTTTCTAACCCGGACCTGGTGCACTGGTGTCCTGCTTGGCTGGATCCCACCGCCTGGCCTTGGGAAGGCAGCGCATTGCTGCAGGCTGTGTTCCTGTAGGAGTGAGTCCTGCCAGGCCAGGGGACCTCACTCATTCCCTTCCCTTTCCCCACGGTTCACTTGGGACCCCCTAAAATGAGGCTTCTGCTTCCACCTGCGCTGTCACTGGGGGTCTGAGCAAGTGCTGGACCCCCGTAACACTGTAAAACCAGGAGCTCGTGGTTGGTGAGAGGGTTTTGGGTTGTACAGAACTGTTGTAACCTGTAACTTTTTGTAATTGTTTCTAATAAAAGGGTGTTGACTAAATGCATGCTTCTGAGTCTGGGTCTGCTCTGCCTGTGGCCGCATCGGGGAGGAGGGATGCTGGAGCCACCCCAGAGGTGAGGAGAGCCTGGGCAGGCTTCCCTGGAGCATCCACAGGCCAAGGGGAATGGCTTGAACCTGCCCGAGGGGAGACTGAGCTGAGCTCTTAGGCAGAAGCTCTTCCCTGTGAGGGTGCTGAGGCGCTGGCACAGGGTGCCCAGAGAAGCTGTGGCTGCCCCATCCCTGGCAGTGCTCAAGGCCAGGTTGGACACAGGGGCTTGGAGCTGCTCCAGTGGAAGGGGTCCCTGCCCGTGGCAGGGGTTGGAGCTGGAGGAGCTTTCAGGTCCCTTCAACCCAACCCAGGCTGGGATTCTGTGACTGCAAGAGGAGGCAAAGCCTGGGGCTGCACGTGCCTGACCTTCACTCTGGACAATCCTTTCTCCCCCCTGCACAGGATGCCCTGAGCCTCTGGGCAGCAGCGGGGCAGCTCCTGGCTCCTTGTTCTCCAGCCCAGAGCTGGGCTGGGATCCCAGGAGCACCAGCACCCACCCCGGTGCCCGGCTGCTGCAGGAGAGCCCGCGTCAATCCCACAAATGGGGCAGGAATTCGAGTGCCAAGGGAAGGAGCTGATTCAGCACAGAGGAAGAGGTGAAGGTAAAAAGTTCAACTCAAGAAATAAGAGGCTATTAGATGACCTCACTGGCAATGTGTTTTATTTAACGTGCTGGTGATGGCTTGGCAATGGCAGCCGTTACTTGGGGTGCTATAAAAGTCACGGCTCACCCGTGTTCTCAACCACCTCTATGGGCCTCTTGTGGTGCTGGGTGTGCTGAGCTTGGGCAGTCGCCTCCTGAGGTGGCAGCAGCCATCGGGGAGCCCCCGTGGTGCCCAGAGCATTTTGCTCTCCTGCTTTTCCAGAGCCTGCAGGGTGGAAAGGAGCCCTCGAGCCTCCTCTGGGTCATGGATTGAGGCAGGAGGGAGCAGCGCCCACCCAGCCCCAGGCAGCTGGAGGGACCACATACACGAGTGCCACGAGTGCACGGTCAGTGCCTAACCCGGAGGTCTGAGCTGCTTGGTTTTCCTTGGAAGATGTCATCTCCTGGGGTTACTGCTGGAGCTGGGGCATCTGCCATGGCACCGCCCCCCCCAAGTGCCCATCAGCACAGGGGGGCTGCGGGGCTCAGTCCCAGCCCTGCACTCGCAGCAGGATGAGGTGGGTGATGCTGGCATCACTGCAGTGACCGAGGTCCTGCACCCTCCAGCCGCAGCAAACCAACCAGCCTGGGGAGCTGGTGCTACCGGTGGGTAGGAAACAAGATCACCCCCAGTGCCCAGCCCTGTGCCCCTGTGCCCTGGTCTGAGGGGGCTGCAGGGTGGCCGGGAGCAGAGGAGGAGGGTGCGGAGCAGGAAGGGACTGGTTGTGCAGGTTTGGGAGGCGGGGGAAGGTTTTGGGTGTTGGAGGCAGGTGCTGGGTGCCAAGGGCATCACTCACTGCTCCATGGTGCAGTTCTGGTCCAGGGGCTGGTGGGAGGCAGCAGCCGTGCTTGGGAACAGGAGTATCCTGGGGTGCATCGGAAGCAGTGTGGCAGCAGTCAAGGGAGGTGACTCCTCCTCTACTGACCCTGGTGAGGCCACGAAGGGAGCACGGTGTCCAGCGCTGGGCTCCTCAGGACAAGAGGCAAGGAGCTGATGGAGAGGGTCCAGTGAAGGCCATGAGGATGCTCAGGGGTCTGGAGCATCTCTGTTGAAGAGAGATTGCCAGAGCTGGGCCTGGTTGGTCAAAGAGGAGCAAACTGAGAGGGGATCTCATCAATGCACCTCAATAGCTCAAAGGTGGTGCCAGGAGGATGGTGCCAGCCTCTTCTCAGTGGTGCCCAGCAGCAGGACGAGGAGCAATGGCCAGAAACTAAAGCACAACAAGTTCCACCTCAGCATGAGGAAGAACTTTCCATTGAGGGTGGCAGAGCCCTGGCACAGGCTGCCCATGGGGGCTGTGGAGTCTCCCTCTCTGGAGCCATCCCAAACCCACCATGGGCACGTTCCTGTGTGCCCTGCTCTGGGTGGCCCTGGTTGTACTGGGTGATCTCCAGAGGCCTCTTCCAACACTGATGATGCTGGGATTCCGTGATCACATCTCCCAGCCTGGACCAGAGCTTGGGGCATCAATGGGAGCCGGGGAGGTGGCGGCTGGAGCCCCAGCACTGCACATGGGGCTGTTCCCATGCTGAGGAACAGCCCCTGTCCCACAGGGAACATTTTGGAGTTATTATGACTCTTTTCCCTGAACAAACGGGGCTTTGTGGCTGCTCGGCCGCGTGGAACCGGGCGCCTGGAGCCGCTTGGGCCACCGGCAAAGCCAAAACACCGGGCTCAAAGGTTTAACCCTTCCTTGCGAGGAGCAGGGGCACCCGGAGCAGGGACACACTGGGACAGAGGAGCATCCCCTGCCTTGGCACTCAGTGCATTGTGCCCGGGGGAGCTCAGCTGAT